TCGCGGTCTGTCACACCCCCCTGTCATTATGATAATATTTTATAATATATACCGTACGGAATATTTTTAAACGTTCGGCTTTTTTTTTTTTTTTTATTGAATAATATGGTGTATATTATTATAGCGAGTATTCAGTGAATATAAATTATATCGAGACACATACTCGTACTATACGTTCTCTTATATATATATACACACACACACACACACACACACATAAATATACATGCGTATAAACTTTAGAAGAAATCATCGATTCGATCTGCAGTGTTGTACACCGAGAAATAAAAAAAATCTATATAGCCTATAGGCCACACACGTACACAAAAACACACACACACACACACATCGATTAATTGTTTATAGATAGGTATTTATTCGTGATTGTTATATCGATATAATAATATGTATATGTATGCACATTAGGGTGGACCAAAAGCAATTTTTTTTCGCATGCGTATCTTTATATATTTTAATTGTACAGGTCTAACGATATATCATCGAATCTTATTTCAAAGAAAAAAAACACCCAGTTCACAAGCAACGATTTTAGATGATCGAATAACAAAATTTTTACCATGAACATACTACAATTTTTTTTTACGGTTTAAATTATTGCTAAACGAAAATTAGCATGTATAGGTAAATCATCAAAATGTAATTTGAAATAAATAAGACCCTATAGTTAATAAAACGAAAATCGATAATGATAAAGTTATTATTGAAACACAAAAGATTGCATAAAAAAAAGTAATTTCAGATTGCTGATCTTGGAAAAAAAATATATTTTAAAAAAAACCGTCCTAGGATAATGGAGATGAGTTTAGCCACTGTTTTAGGTGGGAAGTAGGGAAAGTAGGATACAGATAGGAATATAATGTATATATATCTTATCTTTATCTTATCTTCATCTATAAGCAATGATAAACTATTGCTACGATAAAACGATTCTGAGCAGAGTTCAGTTAATAGTGATGCATTACGGTCAGCAATATATTATATGTAATACTTACCATATTATGGTAAAATAATTAAACATGCATCATATATTTTCTTTAATAATATTTGTTTAAAATTGTACTGCTTTACTTTTTAAAGTATCTTTCCAATCAGATTTTCTTTCAGAAAAAGTGCTATCATTGGAAATCGGAGCAAAATTGTTGTTATATAAGTTCGTAAAAAAAAAGCCTGTTTTTCAACAAATAACTGAATTTTGTACTTTTTCTCATTTTTCTTCAGTTTTGTTCAGGTTTTTTATATTTGTTAAGAAAACTCCTGAGAAAATCGAAAAGCAACCTTCTTAAAGTACCATCCGGAAAAAATTTCATTTCAGAAAAAGGTCTACACTACTTACATCGGAGTCAGCTTTCTAGTAAAAAAAATGTTCACATAAAAAAAAAAAATTAAAAATAAACATCTTTGTAAAACCAATACATTCTTCGTTACACTCAGAATCTAAAAAATAAATAATAAGAATTTGAAGAATCATAGCGCTCTAATCAAGGCTTTAGAAATTAATAGAAGAAAAACATATTAAATGGAACAAAAGTTATTTCAGGTATTGTAGTAGATTTTGGTGTTACATTCTGTATTTTAATATATTATATAGGTACATATGTAAGACGGTATCTATGAAAACAATTCTCTTGTTATTCGAATAATACGAGAATCGAAATAAGCGTTATACGTATACTAACAGTATATCTCAGGAACATTATATTATATTAGTATTTTGTATTTATTGTAAATTATATTATTTCCGATGGTGTATTCGATTTTCGATAAAATTACGATATTCGCGATGAACAGGATCGAAAAACACCCGAACATAACTCTAGTACAGTTCCATCGGATGCTGCGTTCGAATTTCGGCGCTGATTTTTTCCGGAAACGGCGAAATTTAACTATATTGACGGAAGTTATGGGATACTTATTGTACACGAGAAAATTGATCGTTGTCGAACCGAAAGAACAATATAATAGTAGTTGTTTACTTCCTGCGAAAATAGCATCACCAGTCAATAATAATAATAATGATAATAATAATAACAATAACAATAATGGCAGCTACTGCAACAACACTGCAATAGAGTTCAGTAAGTACACTAATATAAATTTATTATCGTATACCTGTCCTGTAGACTAAGTGATTAAAGTGGTAAGAGGCGATGTCGAAAGGAATTTTGAGAGTGTAGGTCCATGCACTTAACAAGATCACACTCATCCAATCATTTTTTCAAATATAAAAAATGTTCTCACTACGCTAGACAAATATACTCAAAAGGAAGTCAGCGTTATTTTCAAAAATATTTTATCAAAAATTAATATATAGCCAAAAACATTTGTTGTTTAAAAATTAAAACAAATTTGAACTGTAATGATCTCTTAACATAGAATACAATATCACTAGCACATGCAGTTGCAGTACTTGATAACTGATTTGGGCGTCAGTGGTGAGGGGGAGATTGAGGGGTCCCACTTCTTATTTAAGGTAGCTTTTTAGTTTACGTGTTTAAAGGAGGGAAACTTTAGTTGTTATGACTAATATATTTTTAAAATTTTAAAATTTTAAAATTTTAAAAATTTGATTTAGTTCTATTCGAAATTGTTACATATTGTTAATACATATTGGATTATACAAAGGTAAAAGTTTTTTTCGGATCAAGTTTATTCTCGGAAACGCTTCTCAAATTTTGATAAGTACAGTTTCCCTCGAAGTTTTTTCCAATTTAACCACTGAGTAGACTCAATCAAGTAATAAAAACAGTATAAAATATAAAAGCTAAATTATTAGAATATAGTATAATATTTACTGACATGTAAACGAGACGAATTAGAGATTAGGTATTTATTATATCAATAACGTGACTTTTCGTCGGATCGGAAATCAGCAATACTTACAACCGATCCGAACCATATGCAGGTATTATATTATTGTATTGTACAGCGATCGAATAAGATAAGAGTGCAAACAATTACGTATGCACATGTCATCGACTGATAAAATGACAAAAATGATAATTGGCCAACTAATAAAACCAACACGTACATATTGTTATACAGCCATTATAGACCACCTGGACAATGATGACGCGTTGTCGTATTTATATAATATAACGATATTTTCAACTGTTAACTTTTGAATTCATTTTCCTTTAAAAATAATATCAAGTTAAATATTAATAATATTAGGTTCACACGAAATTGTGGTTTTAACGTCAAGATTATACACATAGCTGTATTAGTAAGGTTCTTTTAGATTCTTAGCGGAACGAGAAATGTATTGGTTTTACAACGATGTTTTTTTTTTCTGTGAATAACTTTTCTACCAGAAATTTTGCTTCGATTTTAAGAGTGTAATACTTTTTTTAAAAAGAAATCTGTCTGGAATGGTACTTTAGGGAGGTCATTTTTTTATTTTTCAAGGGAGTTTCATAATAAAGGGGAAAATCTGGGAAAATTTATGAAATATATTATTTTTAAATCGTAAACATTTTATCCTTTAAAAACATGTATAATTGAATTCGCTCAGAATTGTTTTTTGTTAAGAATGAGTAATCTTAGAGTACAGATATACTTTAAATACCTCCTCTACCTTCCCAACTTTTTATGTATAAAACATTTTTAAAATAATTGTTAAATGTGTTTTTTTACCTTTATAGTTATCATCAGTGGTGTGTGCAGAGGGCCGGGGGTGGTAGTAGCCAATAAATTAGGGGTTAAATTCTACAACTAGTTTAAAAATGAAACAACTATGAGTATTAAATACTCATAATACTCATAAATTCAAATAAGTTTTATTCGGTGAAAATTTATCGTAAAATGTATGGTTAAGATTTTTGTAATTTGTTCTCAAAGACTTTTAAACGTTAACAAATATGTAGCTACCCGCGAATATTATGGCCAATATTCGACTATTTGGATTCCCTACACGAATCTTTATTTGACTTTTACTACTACAAAAAAATGATTTTCAAAAATAAAAATAATAGCAGCTTACTTTACTTATATTGAAGGCTGGAACTGGAAAATAATTTAAGTGATGGGAGGGGAGTTGTTAACTAATAAAAATGCGTGGTGTTTTAATTTTATTATAATATTATGTATGTAACTAATAACTAATATAGTACGAATAAATTTAAAACTCAGAATCTTTAATTCCCCTCTGGTACGGTATACTTGCTTATATTTAGTAAAATAAATACAAAATTAAATTATTTTACAAAAAAAAATTACTTATTACGTCATTGCTTAAATTACAGAATGTTTACATATATTATATAGATTGAAGATAGCTGATCTCGTTTTTTATCAATTAAAATAAAATCAATTAATTTCATTTAATCAATATACAAAATAAATATAATTTTAATTGGATGACATTTTTTTCGTGCATAAAATTACTATTAATTTGCAGTTCATTTATTTAATCCAATTAAATAAAAAACACAATTAATTGTTTTTTATGTTTCGATTGTAATGGGAATTAATATTTGAGGGGTTCACGGTTTTTTTTTAGGATACCATTGTGACCAATATTTTATCAATTAGTTTTCCTTATTTCTAAAAAATAAATATACAGAAAAAGTACAAACAATTAAAATATATATATATATATATATAAATTGTCGTTAAATTTTAGTTACATTTATTATTCATCGTTGTATTTCATACACATTGTACAAATTTACGAGATTCCCTTAAAATTATATTATTTTTCTAATGTTCGACAATATACCTATATTGTGATTTTATAGGTTTTTTTAATCTCAGGAGGAAAGTAAATCACCTAAGACTTAAGTATAATAATGGAGGTACACATTTCAGCTCTTTATTTCAAAAATTAAAAAAATCCAATAGACAAGAATATTATAGATATCTATATCATTTGTTATTGTTTTGCATTATATGAAGATGTCCTAACGAAACAATTGTTGTCGAAGTACGAAAACGCCTTCAAATCAAATCTATCGAATATTTTGGCTCAAAATATGTGTACTATGTTCGATCCGTTTGAAGTAGCATTATCAAGACAAATAGTTCAAGATCAGACGACTTCGTATCATTATTTTTCCAATAAGGTTTTTATCGACGAAAGAATAATTATAAAACAATAAAAGAAATAATAAAATGAGATACTATAAAATACAATTGTATCTGTTAAAAATAGATTAAGGGCTCCGGCACTCCGGTAGGTAATCAAAAAGACTCGGGCCGTTGTTGGATATTTGCCTGCTTAAGTGTTATACGAGTGCCGTTCATGAGAAAATATAATATTAACAAATTTGAATTCAGCCAAGCTCACATATTTTTCTGGGACAAGGTATGTATTGATTGCTATTTTTTAAAAATATTCGAAAATATTGAAAATTTAAATACTAACCTACACAGTAAAAAAGTTATTTAAATTGTTAACTTCTATTGCATTACATTGTAATTTTAACTTAATCTATAACTCGCTTTACTAATTCATTTGTTTTTTTTTACGTGAATAATTTATTCATATTAAACATACACATACATAAATAAAGATTCAGAAATTATCTTTTTATTTCATCTAAATATAAAGTTGTCAATAGTTTAACTTTAAAATTATCTTTGTATAGTTACATTTAAATTAATTTTTTTACCGGTTTTTAGATAATTATTTTAGAAATAATCTGTTATTATACTCATAATAATTATTAATCTAGATATTTTAAAACTAATCATTTTACAACCCTGGAATTTAGAGTAAAAATAAAAATATTCCTAATTGATGGTAAGAATTCTTTAAATATTGTTAGTTGTTAAATATTAACATTGTAAATATTTTATACATACACATAAAGTCATAATATACAATATTTTTTATTTATATAATATTAAAATGAAAATTGAGTACATATATAATATAGAGTTCGAGTATTTTTGATACAAATTTCGAGTAAACTAGAGTGTCGGTGCTGGGTCATTTTGGATTTTTGTGTATTCTGGGAAAATGGAAAAGTAGCAAATAAGAATGAAAATTCTGTAGTAAAATGTAGAAAAATCGTACAAATATTTAGATAACAATTTGAAGTTATTCGGAGAATTTGTCGGTGCTACATTAACTTATTAGTACCGGCATGTTTGTTTCTTGTCTGTAAGAAAAATTACTGCTGATTAGTATGCTGTTGTTGTAGGTGGAAAATTGGGGCGGTAAGATACTTAGAATTATTTAATTTATATTTGTATACAACGATACATCATTGTAAACGAAATAAGATTCTGAGTGAAATTTAATTAAAGTTGATTTGAAATGTGTCCATTTTTAAGATTTTCGTTAAAATTTGAATTTAAAATAGTTAAAAAAACAAAATCGTTTATAAATATACAATTTAAAGGTTTTCCTAGTTATTAAGAAAACTACCAAAGAATCAAAAAATGACTTCCTCAACTATATAGGTACAATTATTTGGGGGAAAAATATTACACTTTTAAACGTAACCAATATTTCTGATAGAACAGTTGTTTACAGACGCACAAAAACCAAATTTAAACCAAAAACACATTTTAGAATTTGAAAGTATACATCATAATCAGTTTAATCAATAAATTACGATAATTTTCGCTTTAAATATTCGGTATAACTTATGATGAACCTAATTTGAAATTTTCAAACATTTTTCCCGGGGTAGAAAATTTCGATTCAATTATTAAATGTCAATTTGATCCCCCCCCCCCTTTTTCACAGATTCGGATATTTTTCTAAAAACACCTATATTATTTGCATTTGATTTACCATTTATGAGTGAATCATGATTCTCACTCGTCGTGCCATGTGAAATATTCTTTACTGATTGGCTTATATTATCAGAGTAGATAAATGTGTTTCTGCGCCTACCAAGATGTGTGGTTGATGTTAGATACATCCAATCAGTTATTTTATACTATCCTAGTAGAAAGCTATGACCGCGTCATAATAATCTGTAATCTAACAAATTAAATTTTACAAGACACGACGAGTTATAAACCCCACTATACAATAATAATTTAGAATTTAGACCATAATAGTTGGGAAGAGTAACATATATCGACCATAACAATGGTATAATTGATTGTAATAAAAGAATCATCCGGTATATTTAAAATGTTCAAATATCTTATGATTTTAATATAGTTAACTAGTAATAAAAACTATTGTATTATATACTTTTAAAAAGTTTCAAAATATTTATTTTTTAGATTGAGCGAAGCCATTTTTTCTTGAATGCAATAGTAAAATGCGCTTTGAGTGGCCATACTTTAGATTCCAGAACAATGATGTGTCTACTAAACGTAAGTGTTAAATATAATATGTTTTATAATCCCAGTGTATTTTTTTCAAAATGATTATTTAATTTTTTGATTTAAGTGTATATAAAAGCGATTTGGAAGTTTGGTATTTCCTTATCTTATACCGGAATACGCATTTTTTTTTTTTAATTAATTAAATTTCTCTTAAAGTTTTTAGTATGTACATGCCTGTACTCTATTCTTTTAAACAAATTTTAAAATAATATTTTTTGTTTAAAAATTCTACATTTAAAAAAATAGGTTATTCACTAATACTGCTATTGTTAAAAATATATATACATTGTTAATATAAAAGTTGGCTAAGAATTATAATTTAATTTCAAATTTCACAGAATCCTGTCGAAGACGGTGGCAACTGGTCTATGGCAGTAAACATCATTAAAAAGTATGGATTGATGCCGAAATTAAATTTTCCCGAAAGTTATAATAGTAATAAAAGTACCCAGCTCAACGACGTCTTGAATAGTAAAGCAAGTATTTAGAACAGTTTTATACCTATTTGAAAGTTTTAATTGTATATTTTATATAAGTTATACTTAGTTACGAAGTATAAAAAAGTCTTGATATAAAAAAACTACATAGGTACCTACTTAAAAGTAATGGAAATAGCAATGTCTAAAATGATTAGGAAGTTGTATAACGACATTTAAACACTCAGTTATTAAATTTTTTCAATTTTTTTTTGGTGGGTAGGTACTTAATTGGTAAGTTGATAAGACTGGGTCACAGATAATTTTATAAATTAAAGTATTAACGCCATGCTTAAAAAAGTTTGAAAAGCACTGATCTAATATTCGAAAACGTAAACATTGAACGTCCATCAGAACAATGTGAATTTATTCGATAGTATTATAGACAACAATTGATGTTAAATAGTGTTCTAATAAGATAATTATCATCAATACTCCTATCAATATATGACAATAGATTAATTGGTAACTAGAAACTATTAATATAGATGTGTTAACAAAAATTGTATTACGCCTATTATTAGTAATATTACACGATATTTTAATTGATCATGATTTATTTTTCTTTAAATACTGACAACAATATTTGCTATTCATTTAAATACTGTATTCGAATCATATAATAATATTCAGGCGTTTACAAATTTAATTACAATAGTATTTTTTTTACATCATTTTTTACCTTAACGAGTTAATCTACCGCAAACTTTAAATTAGAGCTGGCGGTATTTATGATAATTACCGGATTTTCGGTATTTCCGGTTACTATACTGTATTATTGGTATGTTGTCCTACTTCCTATCTTCCGAATTTTACACCCTAAACAGTGACTAGCTCATTGTGTGAAGCTCACTTCATTTTAATTTGAATTGCCGTAAATACCACGATCAATTATAATTAATTTGGAATATTATTTAAAATTATCTAATTAATATAATTACCTTAAATACCGAATACTCGATGTATCCTTTAAAACAGAATACCGATAGTGAAAATTGCAAATACCTCCAATTCTACTTTAAACTTAGTTTACCACATTGAATTAATACATAATATTATTCCTAAACATTAACATTTTCCTCTAATTTTTAATTATATCTTGACATTATCATTATATACATATAGCTTCGAGAGTTTGCCATCGTATTATATAATATGGTGGCGATTAATGTTCCGGACAAACTAATCTCCGAAGAAATCGAAAAGTATATGTGCATCGTGTATCGAATCGTCGGAATATGTTTGGGCATTCCAAATGACACCTTCAGTTGGTATTATTACGATGACCATAATCAATGTTTTTTGTATAAAAATATCACGCCACTAAAATTTTACGAAATTTTGGTTAAACCGACTTTTGACGTCGACGATAAGGTAATGTAGACAAAGTAACAGAAGACCCGATACTAATGATAGGGTGCCACTGTTATAGGAGGGTAGGTAGTTTGAAAGATAGGTTATTTAGAGTTATTTAATTTAAAACATCAACATTTTGGTTTGGCCAGAAAATCATATTTACATAAAAACCAAATAGAAACCAAACACTTTTGAAAATATAAAATGCCTATGAACAAATTAAAAACCGCAAAAATAAAAGAACGACGTCTAGAGAAGACCAATATAAGTTTTTTATAAACATTTCAGGGCTCAATGATTATTGTTAAATAAATAAGTAAATAAATGGAGTATTATGAAATGTGTATTGTACGACCGGTTTTGAATTAAAAATTCATCGCCAGGTAAAATCAAAAAGTCAAAAAGTAAAACGCAACTTTTTGTCTGTGGATAAAATTGTTAGATCAAACATAAATTCTTGAAAAATGAACAGAAAGTACATTACAAGTAGTACTTTATTGTAAAATAAAAAAAAATATAGTGTAATGTAGAAATATTTTTTAAAAGAGTTTTAATATCAAATCGACAAAATTTGAATCGAATTTGACAAAAATCGTGAATATTACGGACTTTCAAAATATGTATAACCGAACTCCATTTAGATTCATTTTTCATTATTAATGATTAGTTTTTATGTATAGATAAATTTCTCTTTGTATCCTTCCTTCCCAACTTCTCACCTACAACAGAGGCCCACCCATTCTGTGAAGTATGTCCGTTTTTTTATGATACATATTGTACTTTTATTTAAAGGTTTTTGTTATGTGGCTTGTTGAGTATGGTCACCATGTCTTAATTTACTTTATTAAAAATGAACTAGATCCAAATAACTACTATAAAAAACTCCCTTATCGTTTTTTGATTGGAGTAAGATTTCTGATGGAAAAATTATTCAAAGATACAAAAAATAAAAATTACACACATCATAGTAAAACCAATACATATCTCACTGCTCTTAAAATTAAAAAAAAATAACAGTTTTTTTAAAAATATAATTTTTTTTTCTAGGTATCTTTAATATGTGACCCGAGACCGAAAAACAAATTTGGTAAGTTGTATACGGTTGACATGAGCGGAAACGTTAAGGAGGGCTCGAAAATGTTGTGTAACAATCAACCGATCGAAGTACTATTGGAAGCGTGCAAACTATCAATCAGTGAACTCCAGGAACCAGTTTGGTACAGTTGTGAAGTTGAAAAAAATTTTTCCAGTAAACTAGGATCAGAAGACTTACAGTTGTACGTATTATCAGTGTAGTGCACTTGTAAATAGTACCTACATAGATTTGTGTTTCGATATACAAAACTGATTTTATACATTTTTATGTTCATTGGTGTTATTAGACATGACATCAAACTGTTATTCGGTACTGATATATCAATCCCGATGACCAAAAGCGAACGGATTTTATATCGTGATTCCGCCGCAACGCACGCAATGGTATTGACTGGTGTCCATATAGAAGTACCTACCTATTTAAATGTATTTATATAGTTTTAAAAAGTCACGATGTTTTATTATAAGGTGACCATACTTCCTGTTTTATGCAGGATTGTCCTTTTTTTCAGCTTTGTGTCCTGTTGTCCTGACAAACTTCTTTCAGGACGCTATGTACCTTGTATCTTTGTAGATATACATATTTTATAGTTTTAACATAAGTACAGGTTAAAATTTAATGTCATTTTTGAATAAAATGAATTTGTTGACACAAATATTCTTCATAGACTATGATAGTGATTGCGATTAAATTCATGAAAAATAATAATCACAAGAATCGATACCGATAATAATATATCATAAAATTAACAAAAAAAAATATAATAATTAATAAATATTACTTTGAATATATTACTAAAATTATTTTGTCCGGTTTTTTATTTTTTAAATATGGTCACATAATTTTAATATAATATTGTAGTTCGTAACAAAACAATGTACAAACGTTTTATTTGAACACGGTTCAAAAGATCATATTTTATTTACCTGCAGTGTGGCATATTTAGGATATCTTCTGCAATGAGAATGTTTTTGAACTTGAAAAATGTATAATATTTAATACTTCTAAATTTGAAATTAATTGGAAGTCGATTCAAAAATAAAAATCAGAGGGAAGTATAATATCCCCCTCGCCCTTCCCTAAATATGCCACTGTATTTTGTGTTACTTTACGACTTAAATGAATAATAAACTATCAATAGTTAAAATGTATTTGAAAAAAAAAACCTAAGTATAAAACTGCTATATCACATAGGAAAATGGTGAAGTTACTCGATGGAGTGTAGAAAATTCTTGGGGAATAAATGCGAACCATAATGGACACATAACAATGACCACCGAATGGTTTAAGGAGTACGTATTCGAAGTTATCGTCGACAAGAGAATATTGCCACGATATGTGTTGGATGTATTTAATCTTGAACCGATAGTATTGCCGATCTGGGATCAATATTTTGGCAGTATTTCGTTTGTAAATTAAGTTAACCCGTACAAATTTACCAAGTGAAAAATTGTTGCCACACAAAAAATCATGTAAAAATACTATTCAACATTTCAATTTATTTAAAAATGTACCTGTCATTTTTATAGGTATTATAAGGTAATATAGATATATCTACGTCCACTAAATAAATTTAACTTCAAATTTTATCTATAATATGAATACAATAGTAAAACAATTATTATACTATGTATAAACAATTGCAGGTTGCATATTATAAAACATTAGTAAGTTTTTAATTGTTAATAGTAAATATAATATACTTGCATATATATACATGATACACATTCTATAATTTAAAGTCATTTGTTTTAAAAAATAATTGTTTTAACTGTATAATATCTTTAGAAATGAAAAATAAATGTTTAAAGAGTTTAATTTCTGCATATTTGTTTATATGATGACGTTTTGATGTGGATAAATAATTAATATTCATTTTCCCCAAAACAAACTTAACAAATCTAGTATTATAATATAGTAAGCCCATTTCCACTGTTAAAATATGTTTTAATTCCACGTAACTGTAATGTGTCTTTTAAAATAATCAATATATTTTATTATGTTTGTAGAAATTATTATTATTAAAAAAAAAAAAAAAAAAAAAACAAAATATTTTTATTTGTGTGAAATATGTTATGCAGACAACAAAACTATTGTAGTAATATGTTTAAACATCTGACAAACTTTATAGTGGAATAAAAATTATCTATACAGGACAATTAACATAAAGTAGGATATTCATTATTTCAGATAGTATCAATTTTTTTCGGAATTTTTTTTTAGAATATTTAAGAAACTATTAGCTCTAAAATGATATATTGCTCTTTTTTTTGTTACTCTTTATTTTAAGGGGTGAACCTAATATACCTACTTTTGATTTTTAATGGTGATAACTTATAATGATGATAACTTATATTACAAATTCCGTAAATAAACGGAGTCTTGGTCTAAATCAATTTTAGTGTTGACATTTTTAATTTCCATCAACCCGTTGACGAGATATTACACTTTTAAGTTTTTATCGAGGGGAGAGTAGTGGTATATCGTGATATACATGGCACGTAAAGTTCCATAATAATGTCAATAATGTTCCACCATTCTCCCTTTATCTAAACTTAATGAGAAATATCTCGCCAACGGATTGACAGAAATCAAATATTTTAACACCAAAATGCATTCAACTTACTCCTCTATTTAAAAATCAAAAGTATAGGTAATGGTTTCATTCCTTGAAAAAAAGGCAACAAAAAGTAGCTGAAATATAATATTTTAATATAATACTTAATTCTTGTACGATTTCAACAATACAAATTACAGACAGGTAATCGGAAGTTCCTAGTAGGAATGAATAAGTTGAATTAAGTTCATATTCAAAGAAAGAAAAATAATGATTTATGTTAATAGTAAACAAAATAGTTTTGTCTACATAAACAAACGCAGTCACTGCCTTTTTTTGTTTTATCATATTTTTAACCGATTACGAACTAGATACTATATTCATATATTATGATATTACCAATTTTTATGTTATCTTACAAATTAGGGTTTATAATGTTTAAATTATATTTTGCTCAAATTATCTACTTAATAAATAAAAATCAAGAAATAACATCGTATCTAAACTAGGAGGTTTGAATTGGAGTTGTAATGCAAAAATCCCTACGGACGTCTGTAATAGCGCTAGTATACAGTGCAGTCGAATATTGCTCTCCGGTTCAGACTAGAAGTGCACATTTCCATAAAGTTGACACAGAACTTAACGGAAACAGTTTGATTCACTCAAGTACAATAGCTGTCGACACTTACTAATATAGTGCCATCAGACTTACGTAGATTGGAAATTTGGAACACATAGAAAAAATTGTTCTAAAAATAATAAATTACTTCACAGAGCACCCTCACCAAAAAGATTGAAATCAAGACACCTAATAAGGGACCTGGAATCCACGAAAAATACAATAGTGGAAGTGTGGAAAAAGCGATGTTTCCCTGGTTTCGAGCTTCCGAGGAAACTGTGAGCATCATTGAATAGAGCAATAATGGAACAAGGTGAATGCAATTACTAATGCACAAATGGAGAATGTCAGAATCCCCCCTCTATAGTTGTGGTATGCCACAAACGATACGCCATATCGTTAATGACTGCATATAGCGGATATGGTCGCAGTGAAATGAATGGAAAATTTGGAAATACAATTATACAATATAATTTAGTTAAAACAATAGTTACCAAGTCTATCTGCCTAATTATTATATACAAACTTTTAGTTATATTCTTAGGGTCATTTTATAAATCTCCAGTTAAGAGAATTTAAACTCTAAATAATGTTAATCCCCAGTTAAACTAAAAATATGATTTTATAATCTCTCGATTAACATTTAATCGGACTTTAACCATAGAATAGTTAATCTGAGGTATTTGATCGGTAAAAGAGTTTAACTAGAGAATAGGTACAATGTTATCAGTAAATATCACGTTATAACATTTTGTGATTTTATTAATTTCAAATGATTTTTTTTTTTACTTTTATTGTCTTTTTTAATTTATTGAATGTAAATACCGATTCAATTTGAAAACTGATAAACTTATTTAATTAACTACCTATTTGATATTGTCATAACATTACATAAAATCAACTTGATTGAACTTTAGATTCTTATTTCTAATTATTGAATGTTTTCGTCAATTCTCCACGTGTTTTTTTTAATATTTTCAATAGTAGAATCGGTTTTTTATTTTCTAAAATACATTTTTTCCCGACCAGGTTAATTAGAAGTTTCAAAGTTTTAAATTGTCTGAAACAATAACATTTGTATAACGCTCTTGTTTTGTTTTGATACTTATTATAAATTATAACAAAAAATATAAAACAAAAATAATTATATATTTATATTAGTTTTAATTTTGAATTATTATTCATACAGAAAAAATAAAAAAATTCTACAAATATAAAATGACATGAGGAATTATAGAATAAATTTGGTGTGCCAAATATTTTGTGATAACAAATAACAATTTACTGATTGAAATAGACAACATACATGTTCATATTACGGATGTAACTAACGTGAATTCATGTATTTTTATAGTGAGTTAATCTTTAATTAGTTAAACCTAGATTAGTTAATCTCAGAATAAAAATAATTGATAAAATCATTATTTTTTTAATCTGAGATTTGTTGATTGGACAATTTAACTGACGATTGATAAAATGACCACAAGGGTCATTATAAGAATCATAAATATTAGTTTGTTTGTAACCTGTTCATATAAATTATTGTTATTACTTAAAATTATAATTGAGTACTAAGTTATTTACTTTTTAATGAAATTCAATCTACAAATTATTATTCAAATTATCTATTCAAAATAAAACCTTTTACATACAAATTGTTTTTTAGGACCTTCTCCTCAGAAAAAAAGGTGAAATTCCACCACTGTTATAATATCTAACGTGAAAACAGATACATACAAACTGGTACATAGGCATCTTATCCGTGTATTATTAAAAGTTTATAATAAGAGTGTATAATATTATTATAATAGTCGTAGACCATCTGAAATGAAAAAAAAAAAATTAAAAATTAAGACTCCATCGTGAAATAAATAATAACAATGGTAAGTATTAATATAAATAGACATGATTATAATAAATGGTCAACGGGACCAATTGAAACTTTTTTTTTTTATGGACCGTAAGGCATTGACGAAAACTGGAGGCCACCGCGCGTGAACGACACCGTTAATAAGGCCAAATGTGCATGTGTATGTATAATAATATAAAAAGAGTATACAGATCAAATGAATCACCAGCACCCTCAATTACGTTTTATTATCGCCCCCTCCGGGTCGTTTTTTCATTTCATTGTATTCTAATTAAGATATTATTAAGTCTAGATATTCTAGCACCGTGGGTATATGCGAGTATGTAATAATTTTATAATAATTTATTTTAATATAAATTATTATACGCACGCAACCCTAAATAATATTATATTGGTTTTTTATTTTCTTAAAGACGACAGAACCTTTTAATATTAACATTGGTATAACCGGAAGAAAAATTAGGGGGGAGTTAAGGGGTATCAGAAAAAGACTTTTATGTCACGTAGTTTTTATTATACTGGCTATAGGTGAGTTGTGGCCCGCGAGTAACATTATTTTTCTGACAATTTTTATCGTCGATATAGTTTTATGTTCATAATTATTTATAAAGTGCCTACCGCATCAAAAACGGTAATTAATCAAAAATATAACGACGGACGACAAATGTCGACAAACGTGAATGAGTTCGAACGCTAACAGTCCGTTAGTTGCACAGTTAAATGGTATTTGTTAATATAGTGAACAATTAAAGCCATTTTTTATCTATACGAAGACTATTAATACCGTTTTTCATAAAAAAACTTAGTTATGCTGCATAACGGTGACTCAACTATGTGAACAATTGTCAGTGCATTTTAAAATTATCTCCTGTAAATACTATAGTTGAGAGTACTGATCACAACCATAGTAAAAGTCTTAAGTACCTAAGAAAATTTTGAGTGATTCTCCAAAAAGAAAAAACACATGTTTAAAAGACATGTTTCCTGGGTAACGGTAATAGGGTGATAATTATTATGTGATCGTAATATTCATAAGTCCCTCTCACAAACCCGAGCCGCAACTCGTACTTGGTTTAATGATTACGGCGCAATTCACCAACATCGATATTATAATATTCTGGTATATTTTACTCATATTATTATGCATAATTTTCATTTACTTTGTTAGCATTCTAATGAAAAATCCTGGGTATTTTATGAATATTCAGCGTACAATTTTAAAAATAATGTTATTCGTAAGTATACATAAGACTTATATACTTACGTGAGACTTATATTGTAAGTATAATAATAAAACGTATAATGTGCCGTGTTGTGCGGGTTTGTTTGTGTAGTATAATAAAATATTAATTAATAATAATAATAATATAAGTTTGACGCAGAGGCAGATTGGAGGGGAAGCGACGTAGCAATCGTCCCCCTCCCTTGGAAGTTTTTTCTTAACTCTACCAGCGGCTTAGTAGTATATATCAGACGAATTCCAAATATTTGGAAGCTTGCAGCTGATTTGACGTTTATGAGGTTAGGAAATTAATTTTGAATAAAAATATCCAATTACTGATATATAGTTAGTTATTGTTAATAAAAACATAATATAATCTATATATTTAATATAATATGTCCTGACTGACTGATTTATCATCGCCTAGCTTTAATCACTGGACGAATCGAGCTGAAATTTGGCACACGGATAGCTATATAGGCACCCGCTAAGAAAAATTTTCAAAAATTCAATTCCGAAGATAAAATATATCTAACAAATATTATTTGTTACGAATATCTAATTACTTATTTATTTATTTTTGTTTATTCAAGGATTACCTTTGTGTTACAGAAAATAAAACTATTATAATTATTATTATTACTATTATTTACACAATTAAAATTTCACAATAGAACAGATTTAGTCCACCAAAGATGGACTATCCACTCCACCTATTTGTTTTCATTCAATTCTGACACGACCAAAATCAAAAAATGAATACGGGTAAAATAATAACAATAAAAATTGACACTGGCAACGCCGGGCGAGGGACAGCAAATACAATATATACGTATAATTATGTTAATGTTATTTTTTAGCTATATCGATCCTTAACAGGTAAAAGGGCATAAGCGATATTTTGAAAATTTTTCAGGAACTCAAAAAAACACTTTAAAAATGTAATATCAGATGAATGTTAATGATTTTTATTTCAAATTTTGTATTTTTTGATCTCTGAAATAAGTTCAAATAAAAAATTTACTTCAATTATAATATAACATTATTTATGGCGCTTACAATAAAAAAAAAAAGCTAAAAATTAATCAATGTCGCTTACAACCTAAAAAAGGCATACATGTGGCTTATAACAAATTCTGCTAATCAACTATGTCGCTTATACCATTTACACTGCTAATAATGCAAAAATTAACCATTTCTGGTTCCTCCTTACACTTTTTTATCGTTGATAAAGCTGATTTTTCTAAATTTTTCGATACCAAAAAGTCAATTTGGCCTAAAGTGTCGCTTATGCTCTTTTGCCTATTATAATATAGAAGATCTATTATATAGACAACTAATAATCATTTACTTTAATGCTTTAAATACATGCTATAAGTAAATTTCTTTTTGCTTACCACTTGGTTTATTAGAATAAAAATATGGATGAGATCACACATGAGGCAAAGTAGATTGACTGGCTTAGCCATACTTAATATACTCAGGGATATAAATGTATTTGTTGTACAAATTATAGATAGATTTGCGATTGAAAAAAAAGAACATGAAAGTTGTTATTATAAATTGTATTTGTTATATTTGTTAAATATATATTATATTGTTTAACTATGTTACTGTTATGTATACATAATAACTACTTAAATATATATATTTGGCTGTTTTCAATTGAATGATATTTTTAAATTTATAGTTATAACACATTATTAAGAAAGTGTAACTTATTGTTTTAGTATCATTCAGTTATCATGAATTCGTATCTTATTAAGTATATATGAAGAAAATAATGAAATTATGGGATAACAGAAATATACACCCTCCCCCCACCCTGCCATTCATAGTTAAAGATCCCTTGAATTATACATGTGATATCAATTCGCCTCCCCCCCGTTAAATATTCTTCAGTTCCATCGCTGGTTTGACGTATATTTATTGAAAACTTATTTTTTCGTATCCAGAGTTCTAATTAAAATATATCGGAATAATATAATTACATATGCCAGATTCCAATGTTTTAATTATACAAAAAACACGTTATTACATAATAATTGTACTCGAAAAATAATATTGACTTAACATATTATCCAACACGGACATTTTTTTTTTCTAGTGTACATCACTCATTTCTTTTATAATTTGGTGACTTAACACAGCAAGTTGATCAACAGTTTACATACAGCAGGAGTTGTCTAACTTATTGGAAGCTT